AAAGTACTCCAGATAGAAATATTCCTTAAACAATAAATTATTAATAATCACTGTTTTAGAAAATCAGTTGTTTAGATTACCTCAGAAACATAAACATGTTAATTATTAATATATCATTCTCTTAAAAAAAGGATACAAAAATGTGTCATTTGATTGTGCAACTAGTCTGAACTACACATTTAGTGTTGGTGGTGACTTCAATATAACAAGAGCTTTGTGATTAACGGGACTCAACTGGTTAGGTGGAGTTAATTTTGTGAGAGTGGCAAAGACGATGCTTATGCTCAACATAGTTTGTAGTTCAACTCGGATTTGAAACTTTAATACAAATATTAGGGGAGTTGCTTATTTATAATGATAGTGAACAAATTGTGAAGTTTCAACAATATAATTATGATGACTTCCGGTTGTAATATAATTTTGATACATGGGAGAACGTCTGTGATTGGAGTCGCATAGCAAAAGACTGTCAGTACGACGGAGATGTTGAGTGTTGGAACTTGCCGGTGTGAGCCAGGTACTGTAGATCGTAGAGATCACCATGAAAGTGAATGGCAATGTGAACATGCACTGGCATGTATTGTGTAGCATAACAAAGATCGAGTTTTAAAGAAAATGGGCCACACACCACACAAATCATTTAAACTTAAAATCATACAAATTATAAAGACGGCCCAATTCACCACATGAGGGAATCCCTCCGCAAAGAACGAAATATCATACGGGGGCGACCACCATTTATGCAAATCATGCTCGTGACAACCGACCAAACAAACAATGAAAAAATTAAAAAAAAGATAATTTTCCATGTGTTCTTGGTTCAGGGATAATTAGTATTAACTAATGGTAAAATATATTCACGCATAAACGCCCTTCAGACAGGATTGACGCACATTATAGAGCAAATTTTACTCACCATGATGAGGAAATCGTCTCTCGATCCGTGTAAGATCACGATCTCATAGTTCAGTAACGAATTGCGTGATTGGCTGGATTGAGGTCACATGACAACGATAACGCCAAAACGTCGCGAGACATTGCGAGAATTCGCGATATCTCAATATATTACCCAAGATGCCACTCGCAGTGATTTCACTTCCGGTAATCCTCGGGATTCCCAAAATTTGGAAAGTGCGCTGTTTATCTGAGTTTGCATGCAGAAATAAATTTGAAGATTTTTTTTTTACAAAACTCGGTAAGTCCAATATGTACAAAATTAGTATAATCTATATTTCTTTGAAATTTATTTTTATTGTCCATATTTTTGTTTCCTTATCACTTTCATTTTCTAAGCTAACATCTGATAAAAGTGCTCGGTCCGACTTTGTCACACAATGGCGACACCGACAGCTTACAATAGTAAAGTTATAGTTTTGTCATACAATGGCTTAACGCATGACTTAAACTCAAAATAAAGTCCCACACTGATACAGAGGAAATGCTCTAAATTATAAGTGAACATTACCGTAACCGCAAGAAAGAATGAGTTAATGATATTGTTATATGCTCACATTATACATGTAACCATTCCTTCCTTTGGCAACACTTTGTGTAATCATGGAACTATAAACCCATAGTTCCATGGTGTAATGTAGCTATTTTGATTGCAAAACAATGTATCATATAGCAATATTCCATTCTTTCTTTCGATCACAGTAAGATTTAATTAAAATCGAAAATAAAATCCTAATTAAATATATGAGAAATAAATAAAACTGGATTATATTATATTGCTTTATTTGCAAAACAGTGAGCTTTATTCCAATATAAACTGCTGGTTGGCTTGCTTTTCCATTCACAGTAAGTTGCAATGACTCAATTATATACAAGAATTCTCGATTGTTTCAACATTTCTTGGATAATTTGATAACTGTATATAGTTTTGAGCTAATTCTGTATAATTATTTAACAATTATTTCTCTTCCCATGATGGACCAATTTATAAATAATTTGCTGATGGTATCAAATCAACTTCAAATTTCAACTACTGGTAAGATTGGTTTGTTTTATCGTCTTGTTTACTATCAATCAATTATATTATATTACCTTCTTTTTTCCAAACAAAAATTACAAATTGTGAAGGTCCAGAATTGCAAAGAGTGCATACACATCTCTGTCAACGCCAAGTGTTTTTGAATATTTTGTAGGGCTTCAAGGCTGTCAGGCAAGACAAATAATTGCCTACATAGCCTTTGTTTGAATCATGTTATAAAAGGCAATATTATATATACAAGTACTCCTTGCAGATATTGTATTGACATGTTTTGAAATGAGTTCAGACCTGCTATGTTTGCATTAAACCTACAAAACTATATTTATGAGCAGTAAATTATGGTATCCATGGTGATATTTGAGTGGGCAGCCAACAACTGAATGTAAATATCACCCACTTCTATGACACTGAAGTTTTGGGCTACTTGTGGGATTTATTTGCTTCAAGTTTATGCCTTGGAATTTAAAATAACTTTACATGTGACCTCAATTTAATTATGGTACTTGTATATATCGGTAACCACTGACATCAATGGCAATTCACACCAAAGAAGATAGCAAGATAATAGTAATCATCAAAATCAAAAGACCAACTTACAAAAAAAATGGTATCCATCTGAATAAATTTCCATAAATTTCAAAACTACACCCCTCACAGAATCAATATTTGATCATAACATGGCCATGATTTGTTTAACTTTGTTTGTTTTCTTCTGTGTAGCACCTTATTATCACTGTTTAATTATGTTCTCATATTGCTCATTGTGTGCCATTCTGCAAGACACAAGAGTAATGATCAACTCAGAGTACTCGTACATTCATTTTGCACGGTCACTATACTGTGGACTATGTGCTTCATCATTTTACTATAATAATTTGTTCATTAGACAACCATTGCATTCCAAGCCTTGCTTTCAGGTCCTCTGCAAAGATATGGTATGTATGATTCACCGCTGATATGTTCCATCACTGCAAAAACTAAAGTTGGAATGCAGAAAGTCAGCAAAGGCTACAATATGATTAGATCAAATTATATAGAGGATATCAGATTTATTAAAGAGTGATGTAATTTATGACATCACATGTATGCATTCACAGCTATTTCGTCAACAGAAAAAATCATTATTTGTGTGTGCGTGTCCTAAGCTTTTTAACTCATTCCATTTCATTTGCATACAGGGACGTCATTCATGGCATGTACTTTGCAGTCAGTTTAAAACAAATAATTAATTTTTGGAGTACTCAATGTAATTTCGTTCATAGAGACATATTGGCTAGTTTTTACTAAATTTTGAGGTAGTTCTATCAGCGGCCTTCACACATCTCAGCAGTAAATTGGCAAGCAGAAATGGCGATACAGTGAAGAAAGAAATCCTGTGCATTGATAAGGTTCAAGAGTTAGAAACTGCAAAATCTGCATATGTGACTTTAAAATGAAAAAGCAATTTAGTGAGTGTATGAAACTATCGATATATATAGCAAAAAGTTTAATTAATAATTCAAACAATTATCACAAAAATTGTCTATAGTCATCAAACAAGTTATGTTTTGGCATTTTAGAAGATGACCAGTCTGTGTCATCACAATCTTGAAATATGTGCAAGGGTCGTTTTTGCAAATCCAAAAAGTACATGGTGTTATGTCTCTGGTACTACATGATACACGTGATAAAAAATATTTTATTTCTGGGCCTAATTGAGATAAACAAAAGATTCAGCACTTGGTCATGACAGCCGCTTTGGTGCTTTTAGGTTTTAGAAACTCTTAATTTACATATTACCAGTATTTGATCAGAGGAAGCTTAAATATCACAATGTTATTTTTCAGGTGGTAATAAAAGATTGTGTGGCAAGTCTAGCAATGTATCAACGTAATTGCTGTAGAACTTGATGGACAGTCTGGTTATATACTGATGTAACTGCTGTAGAACTTGATGGACAGTCTAGTTGGATTCTGATGTAACTGCAGTAGAACTTGCTGCAATATGGTTTGCAATGTTAAAATTCTACTAACTCTCTTTGTGAGTTTAGCAGATTTAGCACTGACAACTATTTTATTTATCCACGGCCACCAGTTTGACAAATTCACTACAGAGATATACAAGTATTCCTTTTCAAACTGTTTTATTGATATTTGGTTCTTGTCTGTGTTGAGATTTGCGATACTATTCGGTGCCAGTGTTGCAGTGTTGTGCAATGCCAAAGATGCTGTACCAAGGCTGCAGTATTCGTCGGGTTTTGTCCTTTCATTCTGTGGGTTAATGTTCACGTACTTGATTGTCAAGCTGCTGTTTTATTCTGAACACCAGAAAGATTTACGCCAACCCTGGTTCTGGGGATTATTTGCTTGTACGACAGTTTGCTGTGTCTGCCTGTATTTATTATGGAAACTTCTAAGCAGTGTGAAACCCAGACGACCGCATCTGAGTATAAACGCTGAAGACGGAAACACAGAGGAAAGTGCCAAGTTGCTTAGCGACTATGCAAATGAGCATGATTTAAACAAGCCGGAAAGGGGTGACTATGAGTCGCATGGAATAAAAAAGAAAGCTAATGAAAAAAGAAGTACTGTGTTGAGACTGTTGTCTTATACAGCTCCTGACTTTATTTTATTAATAATAGCATTCATAGCTCTCTTGGCAACGTCCATAGGTCAGTATATATTAATTTTTTCATAGACACACCTGTTACTTTATAAGCGCATACACTACTAATAGAGCAAATACTGTTCCACACTAATTGTTACTTAGACATGTTCATGTTTAACCCTTGAGTCAATGTGAAGCTACAAGATTGTGTCTGATTGGCTACCCAACCCCAACCCTAACACCTAACAGTCAGACCAATCAGAAAGCAGCATGGTTATTGACAGATTTTTCAACCTATTAAATTCTTCCTTGTATTTGCTGTAACCCTTTTAATGCCATAAATTATCTTGCAACATTTTTTGCTCTTGTAAAATGGACACAATGACAAGAGTGCATATGCCTGTGTATATTAAGACATTTGTGTCCATTCTACCTGAATAAATACTGCCTTGTTTATCATGAAAGTTTCCCTAATTGAATCGTTACTTTGATTAGATTTTGGCCAATTTTCCAACATATAAGTGACGTAATTAACAGAAATTGCAAATCAGAGATGTAGACATTTTTTTAAAATGAATGTAAATCAGTCTTTGATTTTTATAGATATTTAAAAATTATATTTTTAATCATTGTTATAGGATGAATACAATTCGAGCTCACATAAGTAATGTTTTAATGATTCAGCATACAATAAACTTTGTATGTGCTTCTATTGGAGATGCACTTCTAATAAAGCAAATACAGTATTTGCTTTTTTAATAGTGCATGTGTTTACATAAACATTGTTGAAATGAGTCCTACTACAATGGTCCAGCATACAATGAATGCAATTTTTAGTTTAAGTACATGCTTCTTCTGGAGATGCGCTTTGAATAGAGCAAAAAAGGTATTTATTTGTTATTGGACAGTAAACTTAATTAAATAATACCAATATTGCATTTTAGTAGTGAAGCACTTTTGTAATGTAGAAATAGCATAGACAGCTTGGTTTGATTGTACAGTTGGTTGACTATACAGCCTACAAGTTTTGCCATATTTGCTGCAGAAGTGCTTCATTTCAAATCATTGAATAGGGTTATTGGCGATAGCGGGATCATTCATGTTATTTTTTCCTGATTAGTTTTAATATTGAATAATACTTAAACACATGTAGACCAAGTTTACTAGTTATCAGACTGTATGGAAAGCTGGAACCTATGTGCACCCTTTTGGTGGCATGTACCAGTAGAACAATGAAAAAATGTTTGGTAATATATGATGTCAAACACGTTGATTTGTCCTGTATTACATCACTGTGGAGATATGCATGTGATACATGTAAAACCAGTTTAATACACATTGTCTTGTTGAATCATACCTTGTATATTTTGTTGCAGGTGAGATTTTCCTGCCACTCTTCACTGGTAAGGTCATTGATGGTATCGTGGTTAATAAGGATTACAATGAATTCACACATGCAATCACAGTAATGGCTTTAATATCTGCTGGAACGTAAGTACATTAACGTTTTAAAACTACCAGATTTGGTTGCATGTAAATTTCCCAACTTTAAACATTTCTGTCCCACATGTTTCTAATATTCATATTTGGTAGAAGAATAGCATTTTTCTGATTATTCTGATTACTGATTATTAAATGCAGACAAATTAAAATTATTTGATAAAATGGCCACCACTTTACAACTTTATCAACTATATATTTATGAATCTGTTGTTTTTGAGACAGTGAATAAACAAAATGAATCAGAAAAAATTACTCAAAATACTCAACTTTGATTTAATTTCAGGAAACATAAGT